TTAGAATTTTATTTTGATATCCCAGCCTGTGGCACGGTGTGAAAGAACCATAAAGGTTTCCTCCAGAAGCAGACTACTGGCAAAAACAACTCCTCTGCACCATGATGAGGTACACGGATAGAAGGGACATGTACATGTTGTGCACACTACATGAAGAGAGCACAGTGTCAATCCGCAGAAGCAATGCACAATAGACATGTGCAATTCGTTTAATTCCAAATGTGAATTCGGACAAATTTCGTCAATTCGGACATTCGGATGCTTTACTCTCGAATTTCCGAAGTGCCGAACTGAACCGAATTACTGAAGTGCCGAATTTCGGAAGTGCTTTGGAATTCAGAAGAGTGGCAAAACAAGAGAGGGAGGGAAAATTATGGGAATGATGACAGGAATCTAACCCTACCACTAACCCTAGATGTGTAAGTGGTTGTTGTGGTTAGGGGTAGGGGTTAGGGAATTGCCGGAGTCCAGAATTGCTGAAATCCCAAATTTCAGAAGTACCCAATTGAATTGCCGAAGTCCTGAATTTCGGAAGTGCCGAATTGAATTTTTTGCCCATGCACATTCCTAATGCACAAGAGAAGCAAAAATTTATTATTGGATAAAACAAGCATATAGGGGGAGTAGATTTGGCTGGCCAGTGTATTCAGACATATCTGGTTCACTGTAAAACAAAGACCTGGTATTTAAAAAAAAGTTGCCACCTACTTTATCCAGATAGCAGCATGTAATTCCTATATACCAGTGATGGCGAACCTTTTTGAGCCCGAGTGCCCAAACCGTAATACATGCCAATTTTTTTTCCCTCAAAGTGCCAAAACGGCATTTAAACCTGAATACTGAGGTTTAAGTTTCGAAAAAACAACTCATACAGTTGTCCGAACTAATTAACATCTCTGTGTGTGTACTTAGCAGTCTGTCTGTGTACTTAGCAGTCTGTCTGTATTTAGCAGACTGCTGAATACACACACAGACTGCTGAGTACACAGTCTGCTGAATACACACACACAGACTGCTAAATACACATGCACACACACACTGCCGAGTACACACACACACACACACTGCTAAATACACACACACAGACTGCTGAGTGTACACACACAGACTGCTGAGTGTACACACACACACAGACTGCTGAGTGTACACACACACACAGACTGCTGAGTGTACACACACAGACAGACTGCTGAGTGTACACACACAGACAGACTGCTGAGTGTACACACACTGCATTGAGGGGTACATTGTATGTGTTTGTGTGTGTGTGTGTGTGTGGGTGGGGTGATGTGATGTGATGTGTGGGTAGGGTGATGTGTGGGTGTCTTTGTGTGGGGTGATATGTGTAGGGCAGGGGTGCTGTGTGTATGTCGTCCCCCCTCACCCCACGTCCCACACTCAGTTTTCTCCCCCTATACCGCCCTCAGTTCCCCCCCATCTCTCCCTCAGTTTCCGTCCCATCTCTCCCACTCCAGTTCCCCTCCATCTCTCCTCAGTCCCCCATATCTCTCCCTCAGTCCCCATATCCTCTCCCCACTCCGAGTCCCATCTCTCCTCAGTTCCCCATCTCTCTCCCTCAGTCCCCCACCTCTCTCCCCCTCAGTTTAGCCCCCCCATCTCTCTCCCACTCAGTTTAGCCCCCCATCTCTCTCCCACTCAGTTTAGCCTCCCCATCTCTCTCCCACTCAGTTTCCCCCATCTCTCTCCCTCAGTTTCCCCCCATCTCTCTCCCTCAGTTTCCCCCCATCTCTCTCCCACTCAGTCCCCCCATA